CAAGACCATGTTGGGTACTGAAATAAGGAAGGGGCAGGGAATCTGGTTGCACCGACCCCAGGTTCTCGGTTTCGTAGTAGAGACCAGCCGAGGTGGTGAGGAATATCAAGCATGATTATGCAAAATTAGCCTCTCCACCTCTTCCTTGAAAAACATTAGGGGCTCAAAATTCAAAACACTCAGGCAGATATATGCTGTACAAGACAAAAAAAATCTATTTTCCATTGCAAAATTTTCCTAATGTGACATGTGAATGAATACCATGACAGCAGGACCAGAAGATGCAGTACACACACCTCTAACCAAACACCCACAAGGAAAAACTCCAGCACCTACTGGGGTAAACTGAGGACAAGCACTGAGTGCCGAGCGTGTTTCATGAAACATACTTTGACCCCAAAATGGGAGTACTGTACTGTATTTGACAAACACCAATCACATCCATCATCCTACATAACAGTGCATCCCCCTTAACACAGCTCAAGTGCATCTCAGCAGATGCTCATTAATTTATTAAACCTGGTGTAGAAATGAGGATTTGACAATTATACCAGTATATACTGGTAGTTCAAGAAGATAACAGGGGGAATCCTCCCAGAAACGTTTATCTACAGTATCCTGACCATGATGCAAAATTACAAGTGAAAATAACCAATTTTTTTTTTTTTTAGTTGCAATTGAATTTGTACTCCTGGGCTTTTACAATACATTTACAATACAACTTATCTTATGAACAGTAATTTGGGTCTAATTCATGTGTGTGGTATTCAGATCTGCCTTTTCCAGGACAGCCTGGGTTGTGCATGTTTCAAATGTGATTATTGATTTTTAACAGCTCTACCCCATTGCAATTCTTTGCAGAGAGTTCTTACTACAGTAATACAGACTAGATAAGTTTCAATACCAACTGGAAGACCAAGAAAGGAATCCAAGAGCCAAAATATCTCGGGAAATAAACATTATGATGTGAAGTACAGGGTGCTGTAATTAGTAGAGGGAGCCCGAGTATAGCAGTCAAGAGGTAATGAGCAGGAGCAGAGTTTGTAAGGTGAAGGCAGAGCTTACTAATCAGTGACTATGGAGGAGTGAAGTCTAGCTCTTTATGTCCTGCCTCCTACACTCTTTTATTTGACAATTTTTTTTCCATTTCTTGATGTTCAAGTTGTGTATTGTATTTGTTCCTAAAATTGTAGAGGGAAGTGGCTTTAAAAACTTCTTTCAATTCATACCATCTATTGACCATCTGTATAGGGTATGAGAAATTTTCTAACAGCTGCGTTAACTCAGCTTCCACCAAAATCCTCCAACAGACTTCCTATTCCCAACATAAACATACCCATACCTGTATACTGTACTTTCAGAGGCCAACATCAATTTCTATCATTACAAATATAAGCATCCATAGCGTTTCAGGCAAGTCCTTAATCCTAATTTTCCCTAGAATACAACCCGCCAAATCGTTTAACAACCAGGTACCCATTCACTGCTGGGTGAACAGAGGCTGCAGTTAAGGATTGGTGTCAAGCAAATCCTCCACAGCCAAGATACAAACTCAAGGCAAAGCACTCGCAAAAAGCCAGGAGTGTGTGTTACCTCTTTGCCATGGGGACTACTAATGAAATTAGTAGCAATGCTTATTTATTTTCAAGATATTACTCAAGGTCTTCCTATCTCTATCCACTCCTCACCGATGAGTTAAAATGGCATTAAAATCTGTACCATGATAGTATTAACCATGTATCCCATGAACATCACAAATACTGTAAAAATAAACTAGTTTTCATAAAACCATATGGTACTATATCCCTTCCAGGAGTATCTAATAATTTGCAAGTACATCATTATCACTAAAAATTAAAAGGATAAGATATAAATTTACTATACAATGAGATACAATAATTGGACAGTGGTGGTCTTATCTGCCACCATATTATATACTTCATAACACAATGTAGTTCAACAGCTTAAGTGACTTTCTCATTGCCTACACAAATAATTAATATTTAACAAAGTTGCACAAAAATATATTTGAATGGGAAAATCAACATGAATAAATGAAAACAAAAAAGTAAATTATGAATCCTTATTGCAGTCTTAGACAACTACTGAGAAAATGGAGGAAGTGAAATGCAAGCAGCCATTTTCTTAAAACTTGTGGCCCAATGAATTTCTACAGCATAAATATGAGTGTCTACTCTCCTATTCAAATGATTATCATCAAAAGTTGGTTAAATGTGTATCTAAATGGGTAAATAAACATGAATAAATAGTCTATATGAAATGAACAAATCCACAAGGGCCGTGACGAGGATTGTCACGGCCCTTGTGGATTTGTTCATTTGATGCATCACGCTATTGTGATTTCTGTGTGTAGTCTATATCAATGCAAGGGTAATGATAATATGAAGCTGACCCTCTTCCAGATACACCAAGATATAATAAGTTGTATTGTAAATGTGTAACATTGATAAAGTCATGATAGGTCCCCCCTTTCTGGCAATTCATTGAATTTCAAAAGGCTATTTTATAAGGTTATATATATTTAATATAGTACTGCACATAAAATATATTATTCCTCTTTGGCAGAACATCGATCACTCAGAAAACAAGTCATGCACATAGGATGATGAAACTTACTTTTCTGATAACATTTATAGTAAGCTTCCACCAAACCTTATGGCACCTCATGTATTCACAAATTTCAACACATAATTCACAAGTTTCTGACTACAGTAACATCAAAACTTGCTAAAACTGGAAGTCGTCCAATACACTGACACTTTCAAGCTCATTTATAAAGAATTCCTTAGCCATTATAAAATATATCCAATGAATTTTTCTACTGTGAGCCTACAACCTAAAAGGGAAAACTCTTTGGAAGAGTTAGTTTCCCACTCATAAAAAACTTATTTCTACAGTGCTAAGCTAATGCAGAAACTACTATACTGTAATACCTCTTGAGTGTTATAATAGTTGTGTGCAAGACTTTCAATAAACAAACATTTTAAAGGACACCACCAATACAAGCAGGTATTCTATTAGTGTAACAGAGAGGTATTCCAATAAAACTATAGTTTACAAAATGTGACAACCATTGCTGGATACTACACACAGTTGTCTTTTTTTTTAATACAGTACTATAAACAGTATTTGGGAGGGTATGTACTCGTAGAAATAATGGCAAAATGTATATACAGTATTTAAATATTCTCTGATGTACCCCTTGCCAGTTCCAATTTTCTACAAATGATAATTGCATTAACATATTTACTACCTGTATATATATTTTCCTTGAAGACTTTATTTACATAAATAATTTAAACTCTGAAAAATAATTTAAATGGTTGCATAGAAAATAATGTAATCAAGTTAAGAAAGTACCAAGTGCAGAGCAAGGACCTCAATTTATTCAACGTTTCACCACTGGTGCTTCTTCAGAAATAGCCGGGAATGAGTAAATGGTAGGTTTTGTTCAGCACCAACAATGATGTCAATAGGACACAACCACATATCTAACGAACAGTGACTTATCACTAAACGAGCTTGTCACCAAACAACATGTCGAGTAAGCCGATTAGGTAATGCAAAGAATCTCCTATTCTAATTGAATTTTGTTTGTTTGAATGAAAGTGGATCTTATACATTGCTTCATAACCTATTTATGCTTCACTATGTGGTTTAACTTGCTTAAAAGTTGATGCATGACCTGTATCTTATCTGCTCCTGACAAGTGCATTCTTCACATCAGAGGATCTAATATCCTACTTATATTATTGCATTAACTATGGTGGATACAATATATATACATTAATGATTCCACCCTACTCTATCTTCGCTCCTTTTCCTTTACTATGATATTAGTTCATTAAAAGTAACTAGCTCAATCACAGTCAGTAGCTTTTTAAAGAAATCAGAACAGGAACAAAGCCAGACTGAAGTAGAAGCAGGAATATCTTCTACAGTTACTGTGACAATGTTCATCCAATAAGATGTTCTGCTCCACCAGCACACAGCTGACTGGCACTAAGGTACACTATAGGGAACAACAATTGATCAAACTAGCATGAATAATGAAATAAGAAAAGCTAAATAATGAAGAGTATATAGCTGGGGAGCCAAAGACATACTAAAGTTCTTTCAAGCCGAGTCATTGCATTGAAAAATGAGACCAATCAGACAACTGATGACAAAGAAATGAGTGACATTTTAAATAAGTACAGTACCTTGTCTCTGTATTTACTGTACTATATTTGCTAGAGATGGACTTTATATTTTTCATATGGATGAATAATTCTATGTAGTTGATGAAGTGAACTTGGTTAGTCTAGATGTTAACAGGAAGGTAATTATTAAACAAATTGAAAAACCAAAGCCCAACCAGTCCCAAGGACCAGATGAAATACTTTCCAGGATATTTAGGTCCCTGCTCTGTATCTGTGTTTCCTTTAAAATTATAAAATTTATAATCATTATTTAATATTAAAAACAAAATCTGTATTAGACTGCTCATTTTTGTTTGTAAAGTTAATGCTTTTGAAAATGGCAAATTACAAGGCTAAAATGAAAAGCAAGGTCATTAACTTATATGAGTTGTGAAGATTTTCCTGTAATACTGTACTGTACTCCAACTTTAAAAAAAATAAAGGATGACTTGTTTTGACTTATGACTTGTTACACTAAAAAGAGTACAGTATTAAGGGGAAATTAAAAAACACACTATATGGTATCCAGCAATGATGACGTAGCAACGTAAAGAAGAAAGCGTGCGGACGGACCACAGGTGAGCGGCACATAGGGCGCGAAGAGCCCTGGTGGGAGGCCGGGAAGCACGCTGAGAGCACCGCCCATAGCTCCACCCTCGCTGCCTAAGCTGGAAGCAGGTGGGGGGCTCTCTGGAGAGTAAGGGCCTTCTGGGGCTGAATCAGGTGGGTTCAACATCAGTTGCTCAGATAAGGGTAGAATGTGCAGGGAGGAGCCAGATGGGATGTGAGTGTAGGCACCTGAGGGTGGGGGCGACCCTGGTGATGTGGAAGCTGACCTCTCCACCCTGGCGACTCCTATGCTGGTACCACCTTCTGCAAGCTCCTTGAGACAAAGCCAATCACCATCCACAGAAACCCGAAAATTACACAGGTAGATGGTGTCCTCAGCCCCGGCCATCTCAATTAGCACCATCTTATGTGCCCACCATCAGTTATTGCCATACACAATAATAACTGTCAAGCACAATTAGCTGCATGCTGATAACACTATTGTTCCCACATAACAAAGTACACCTGTTTGACCAAGGAATAAAAGCAAGATTAGCTTACAAGCCACAAATAATAAAGTAAATATAAATAAAGTAAATGTTATACCAATACAGTACTGTATTACACAATACCATTGCAGTGCAACAGTCAATATGATGCCTTTCAAAAACACTAATGTTAATGCAGTAATATGCTGCAACACACTGTTATTGTTACTGTCATTGCTAAAATGTCTTTATAAACTACATAATCCAGGGCATGAAGATTATCATTGATACCAATGGTAATAAAGACCTCGATGTTTCAATCCACTGGAAATGTATAAAATACTTGTGATACAAAATAAGAAAGACAGAATGCCACAAGCATAGCAATATTACTGTAATTACAGTGATGTAGTCACAAACAGATAATCACATAATATATAGACAGTACTAGTATACAGTATATATGTTGCGCAGAACACAACTCTGGTTATCAGTTGTCTGGACCGACACCCAGAGCACAACTCCATAGTCTCCCGAGACTGATGGATGCCCACTACTACATGCTCACCCTAATGACATTCAATATACCGGTACTCCAAATTTCTCTGGAAACAATTACTGGTCTTTGAATCAGTACAAGTGTTGTGACATACAAAAAAATCATTTGATACAGAGAGCATCCTGTTATGCCATAATTAGATTAAGTTTGGAACTTCACTTCACATGGCAAAGTGCATCTCACACTTGCAATTCAGACTTTATAATGAATCTTAAGTTAAACAAAATTTAACCCTCTAAGTGCAGTTATCAAAAAATTGCCACCATGATTGTGAGCCAAAAATTAGAGAATTATTTAACTTGAATTGACACAAAATCCTATATCTACCCAAATTTGATAGAAGACCAGAGTTGAAGTCAGTCTAACTCCGAAGTATTTTGTGGCCTCCATGATTGCTGGAAGTCACCAATGAGCTATTGGAACTAAATAGGCAAATCCAGTATTCAAACATTGACAGATAGAAGATCTGGAGAAAAACAATATAATATCAGACTGTCAGTTTGGTTTTCGATCTAGAAGATCCTGTGTAACGAATTTACTCAGTTTCTATAACCGAGCCACAGAGATTTTACAGGAAAGAGATGGTTGGGTTAACTGCATCTATCTGGACTTAAAAAAAAAAAAAAAAAAAAAAAGGCTTTCGACAGAGTTCCACATAAGAGGTTGTTCTGGAAACAGGTACGTATTGGAGGGGTGACAGGTAAGCTTCTAACATGGATGAAAAATTTTCTGATAGAAAAATTAGGGCAGTAACCAGAGGAAGTCTATCGGACTGAAGAAATGTCACAAGTGGAGTACTACAGGGTTCAGTTCTTGCACCAGTAATGTTTATTGTCTACATAAACAATCTACCAGATCGAATACAGAATTATATGAACATGTTTGCTGATGATGCTAAGATAATAGGAAGGATAAGAAACTTAGATGATTGTAATGCCCTTCAAGAAGACCTGGACAAAGTACTGTATATGGAGCACCTCTCGGCAAATGGAATTTAATGGGCATAAATGCCATGTTTTGGAATGTTGAATAGGAGAGCATAGACCCCACACAACCTACAAATTATGTGAGAAATCTTTTAAAAAATTCTGATAAAGAAAGAGATCTTGGAGTGGTTCTAGATAGAAACGTGGAACTTCAAGAAGAGGAGGTCATAGATTTAAACTAACTAAACAAAGCTGCCGAAGAAATATAAAAAAATTCACTTTCGCAAACAGAGTGGTAGATGGTTGGAATATGTTAGGTGAGAATGTGGTAGAGGACAAAACCGTCAGTAATTTCAAAGCGTTATATGACAGTGCTGGGAAGATGGGACACTACGAGCATAGCTCTCATCCTGTAACTACACTTAGGTAATTACAAAAAGTAAATCATCATAACAGAACTACACAAACACTCAACATATAACGATCGTAGCACTCTAGTTAACCATTGGCGTGCTGCTACTGTGTAAGGTGCTGGGAGGCCCCATCCAAACCACAGTACTGTACGCTTCTTACTAATAGGGACAATAGAGATGCCAGATATCAGGTCAATTCATGTAAGTACTCATGCATACTAGAAACTTTAAAAATACTTTACAATATTTATGATAAATTAAGGAGACACACCTCACATAAGGACACAAGTAAATTAACACATTGTACTCAACTATGTAGTCATGCACTGCAGAGGAAAACAAAAAAGGGAGAATGAGAAAATACACAATGAAATCACAATAATGTGATATATTCATGTGCAAAAAAGGTAACCGAGAAAATTTGAGAATTTTTAGCTGGACACGGAAATGTATTTTTAGCTATTACATGAAATCATGGCGTACGTCACATGAATATGCATGTGAACAGGTTGATTTCAGTACAATTTGAGTACAGTATATAGATAAACCCTGGTTTAACAAGTGATGAGGTTCGCCTTAAATCAGATGTAAGAAAATACAGAATGAATGCAAGGGGAAAACAGAAGAAAATGGAATCGAGTTGATTGGAAAGAAATTATTATAACTAGAAATAAGGCAGAGGGGGCAGAGGGACAATTTGCAAATGGTAATACCACTAAAGGCAATATATATACTGTACCTTACAATCCAGTATATATAAATCTCACAATATTCATCTAACCTTTGGGTTAGGTTTATAATCCCAGACTGATTTCTCAACATGAAGAATGAAACCAGATGAAATTGTGCTCTATGTTCCAAGAGAACCAAAATGTTTACCCAAAAAGGGCGAAACATTATCCCTTCTAATGGTTAGAGGGGGTAATCGGCTGAAGGGTGGATATCTATTCATATTTATCACCAAAAGCTCACATAAACAGGATCACATCAGTGGCATATTCAATTTAGGTAGATAATTTTGACAATCTTCAGGAACCTCAACAAAGAATCATTTAGAAAACTGCAAACCATATATGTGACTCTTAATACTGAAGTATACAGTGTCAGTTTGGAACTTTCACCTTTTCAAGCACATTCAAAAGAGCATCTAAGAGATCTGCCAATGCACTAGCATGATCAGTGAGATAATGGACCCGAGGTAAGAGAACAGGTTGAAAGATTTCAGTCTCGTATAGCTAGCAAAATTAACACAAAAGTAACAAGGTCACAACATGCAAGATACTTATAGGTATTGAAAAGCTGTATAGACACTGTGGAAAAGAATGGAACCAGGAACAATGTCTAAGACATACAAAACAGCTTCTCCAGTATGAGGAGAGTAAGTGAATGTAGTGCATAAGAGGAAGTAGTGGAGGTAAACTGCATACATAAATTAAACTTGGCCATTATGTACAAATATATAATAATATATAATAAATATATACATAATAAATACATATAAGCTTTTTAGAATAAACAACATTTTAATTCACACGTATAAGAAATGCATGGTTTCACGCATGGTTTCACGTATAAGAAATGCATGGTTTCCTACACAATTAAATTTTACTGGATTTTTTTTTAACTGAATCAAGTAAAATATTATTCTTAAGTCCAACTGATGTCTTGAAAGACATATTCTTTAGTTCTCTGGTGTAGTTAATATGAGGAACCAAAGGTCCTTATTGCACAAATCTTGCAGGATGCAACATGCTCCAGACAGGCACACCTCCTTTAAGGAAATTGCAGTGTCATTCCAACTGTGACATACTGCCTACGAGCAAACCATATTTTCAATCTCAATTTCTATTGCGAGCCTTTACGATTTAATACGTTTAATAGTCACGCAATGGACTTGAATGTTTGGTTTTAACCAGCCATAAACATCTATTAGTATATGTTGGTTTAGGTTGCCACATGTCGGGCGTAGTATGTTTACATATGGTCCCATCACTCCACGCACAAACACACCCAAATTCTCACAATTCAAACGCTTATTTCCCGAGAATATCTGCTCATGGAGCACATTAAATGACTTAGTTTTCAAATTCAGTGATAACTAGTGTGGTAAGAGTGTGCGCAAGGCCCAAATACCGTTCAGTTAGGAGCCGCGCGAGTCACTGTTCCCATGTCGGCTATCACCAAAGGCTATTGAGGGGAAGGGTGGCGCTGCGCCTGCGTTAACTACTACTACGATTCCCACCTACAGGGGGATTCCCACGCCCTCATCTCCTTAACACAAGTGGCATACATTCCCAAGAAGATTATGAGACAGCACAATATAACCAAAATATATGACATTTATTTTCTTGTCATAGATCCCTCATGTTGCACAAGGTGGAAATATTTGTATCGGTACTACAAATATTTTTCCAAGTATTAAATGCGACGAAAAAAATTCAACTATGGCAAAAACACATTAGGAGGGCCATAAATAGGTTTAAGACATAAGGGTTGTGAACGTAATAACTGCGCAAATGTTGAACAGGCAGAGCGTAAGGGTAGGGTGGGGCTGATCAATAGTCTGGCCTCCCACTCTCCCCTTCACAGCTCCACATACACCACACTCCCTTCACACACACTCGCTTTACCACCTCCTCTCAGACATTATATACGAAAGAAAATGGCTATGTACTATAAGTCAATTCACGTGCACAGTTCTATTGCGTGTTACTAAGAAAGGCATCGAGTAAGGATAACAAATATTGATCACAAATACAAATATTGATTAAAACTGTAATGGACTATCACACGTAAGACAGACTATTGCGAAGCTACTCCCTGGGTGCATAACAATACAATAACATTAAATGTATTTTTCCATCTTACAGGAAAGTCAATAATATAAGTGATATGTTTACTAAATATTTTTCGGTAAAAAGGTATTAACACTGCCTACGTGAATGTCTTTGTACTATAAGGGTTTAAATTAAACCCATCCCTGGAGGGCGCGGGTATCTTATTATATTCCTTGATCCCTCCCATGCCTATGTTCACATGCCTCCATGTACAACACCAAAGACCACAGTCCTTTGGTAAATACTGTCATCTATAGCTATAAAAGGGTCTCGAGAGTACAGTCGGATTCGTTCCCGACGCA